ATTCTATCCTTTTCCACTTCTTTTGAGTTACTGAGCACCCTCTATATTCTAACTTCCTCTAGTTCCTCTAGTGTCTAGCTTCTAGTTCCTTAAAGATAGTTTCTTTCTTCTTCTTTTTTTTTTTTTTTTTTTTTTCATCCGAACAATCATTATCACGAAGAGTATTCTAGAAAACTGAGAGGTGGATCGTTTAGTGTGAGAGAATTTGATCCACTGGCAGATTAGCTCGATGACCTTAAATGCGTTTAAATTGCAAGATTAACCGGCAGTAGCGATTAGCGGTAAAGATTTAACCTTGCTCCATTCCTGAAGGTACATTAATTCTATCGCGTTCGTTCCAGTACACAGACGATACTTCTGCATCGAAGGTGTTTCCATTCCATACGTCATTGTTACCTGTGAGTGCAGATTTCAGTGAAACGAAAATTTAACACGCCACGTGCAACTGGTTGCCTCATTACCAAAGTAAAACGTTCGTGAAAAACAAAGATATTAAGATATCTTAGAGTCTGCACATACACACACACACATACACACGCACACGCCACCGTCACGGACTAACAATAAAAGTTTTATCGTACGACAAATGTCACAACCACGTGAATAAATTCATGGTACAAACTTGAAGCATGGTAAATATGTAGCGCAGGTAGATATCAATAGCCAAGTACGTATATCAGCTTCGCAGAATATAATCGGATTACACTAGCTTATACGAGAGACACTTGTATATTGTTCGTCATTCGCATTCGATTTTGTCCCGTGCATTTCTCTCGTTGCATTTCTGGCGTTGGTGAGCGATCGGCAGTGTCTCCGATCATCGGACTCCGAGTCGTCGCAGAGGTCCACTACTCGGTGCAAGTTTGACGCGAGATTAAGCGACGCGCTGGGCGTTAATCAAATTTCAATTTCCATCCGCCGTCACGTCGGCGCGAGAGCTCGTTTGTCGATTTCGTCGAATTAATAGGCTGCGTGACGTAGAAGGCTGATAGAGGAGACCAGCGTAATAGTTAGTCTGAACGAAGCAACACGAAGGTTAGTAGCGCGTCGTTTATCCGAGACCAGGCGCGTCGTTTGTCCTCGTTTTCGAGAACTCGCCTCTCTGCGTGCGCCACTGTCGCGTCGGCCACTTTGATCGAATCGAATTAGTGAATTATCTTTTTCTCATTTTACTCGATATTTTATTATTCGAACGGAAATGTTGTTTGTAATCATCTCAATTCCCTTTATACATAATTCCTTTCGAACGAGATAACAGTTCTTTAACATTTTTATAATTTCCTAATGATTTATCCCGTAAGAATGTTCGAATTCTGTCGGATGAGAGCCGCATTAACGTGATCTACGCGCATTCTTTCATTGACGCCTACATTCTAGCGTCGGTGTCAGTGTCGTGAATGGCATCATTATTGAATGAAATTAAGCAAATATTCAAGTACGATCTGCAAGAAGAGGAATTCAATTTAATTCGAAGCACGAAGAGCGTGAATTACATCGATATAAGAGGTGTTCCCTTGTATCAACCTTTGTCGCGCATTCCTTGTTGGCAGTGCTCAAATGAGTTTGCCCACGTTCGGCTACCTGTTGCCACCTTTTTCTTTCTTTTCACCATCCGTCCTCCGATAATATTTACGCATTTGCACGTCAGGCAGCACTCTCTCGAGAGCGTGCCTACACGAAGAAGGGGCGCATTCATGCACGCGTTTTTCAATTGGCCTCGTTGCTACTCTCGTTTCACACCCCTCGCGCTTACGTGATACCGCACTTAAATCGAGATTAAAAGCCAACGCGTAAGTACAAAGACCGGCCTCCACGTGAACGCCCACATAAACTTCTTCCGGGTTCTGCAGATACCGTACGACACACCGTGAGGGAAATTTTCATCAATGATAATAAAAATAGTCGGAATACGCTAATATAATAATACAATTTAAAAAAAAAAAAAAAAAAAAACAAATATTTTAAATATCAGTCAGTTCCGTATATGTACTTCAATGCATTTGGAAGTATTCATAGCAATCAGAGACACAATAGAGAAGACCATTAGCTGTAATTTGTTAGTATAGAAAGATTGACGAAAAGAGACGAATCCAACAAATTCAAACAGCGTGAAATAGAAATTCAATGATCTAATAAATAACGTTCCGTTAGATTTGCACGAAGAAAGTAATGAACGTGATCGTTGTGTTTGTTTCAGCGGCGTGGAAGCAAAGTGGAGGTTGAGATTAGAAGTAATAGCGTGGTTAACAGGTGGAAAAGGGTTGAAGTTCACGGAATACCACCACGCGTCACGCAGGGGTGGTGGGTCTATGGGGGGCTCCGCCCCAGCGGCCCCCCGGCTCCAGTCCAAACGGAAACTGCCGGAACGGTGCTATCCTGGCAAGGTCCAAGACCGCTCCGCTTCCGGTACCACCGTCAAAACGGATGAAGAGCCCCTCCAACATCATGAGGCAGTCTAGCCTCACCAAGCTTGGCTCCATGATCAATACCGCCGTGAACAAGAGAGTCGGTGAGTTCTACTCTTTCGTTTTTTCGTTTCTCCCCTGCTTTCTCCGTCTTTCTCCCCTTTCTTCTTTTCTGCATTGTGCTCTGCTAATTCTCAAAATGTTTGTGCGACGGCCGGTAATTTGTCTCTTCGAATTGAAAGAAAAATATGGTACGAGGTGGATAATCTCAAGACTATAATTATCTCTTTATTACGAGTAATCAATGTAGTTAATGTCAAAGAATCACAATTCAAAACTTTCCAACGATTCGCATAACACTTCAACATTCGATTCGTCGTCTCGTCGTATGGGCTTGTTTTCACGAAATGTGTTTAATAATACGAACGTTATGGGAGTTCGCACAGCAATAGTTGTTTTTTCGAACACAAACGTATCGGTATGAACGGATTCGAGCATCGTTTACATTTAGCGGTCAGTTAGTAAACGCGATGTCACCCAGCAATAACACTATGATCGTTCGAAACGACAGTTTTCAAGAATCGTTGTCGAAGATGAATTCGTTCACGCGAAATCATATCCGGATCAAACGGACCAATCTCGATTTAATGAAACTCGACGAGAGAGCACCGAACATTCTCAATCGTAACAACATCGATTATACTTGTGAGTAGAAAGACTATTTGTAACTGGTACAGTGTTACGGTTTTTTGAAAGCGGCACGTTGAACTGGTTGTTGATGTAACAGCACTCCGTTTTCGGCGAAAATAAAACGAGTGCATGAAACTTGAACGATGTTGGCCTGTACAAACGGTTCAATCGATTTTCCATGGATGTGGAAAAAATTCGAAGCATGTGAGCTTAAAGGCGAACACGCTATAGCAAGTCCAACGATCTATACTGAATATCAGCGGATTTTTAACGCATTCGAGCGTGAACTTATCGCCCAATCGAAGCTTATAAATTTCACAAAAATAATCATCCCATCAGGATCGAACGAATTCTGAAACGAAGATAGAAAATAACGGTTTGAAATAATGAATCGTTTCAATTGCTTTATTATTCGAGATGTGAGAAATAAGTGGCATTATTTTACAATGTAGTAGTCTCAATTTATTCTCGGAATTATTTTAATTTCAATTCGTCTATTGACCAAGATGTGCTCGTGCTGGGATAAGTATTGCTTTCAGCTATTGGTTTCTTATCGACATATATTTTTTATTGACATTCGTATACGTTCATCGTTACAAATTGAGAGTGTCCTTTGAACGGTAGTCTGTGTGTCAAAAATGTTTTCTTCGCGAGAACTCGTGATGTCTACTTTTTTTATGTTTGCTTCTTCGAAAACACTTGCGCCTGATTCATGGCAAATATCGTGTCCAGGTTACGCCAGCTCTACATGCTTGTTAGAGCTCATTACGAACTCATTAACATCCTCCTTCTAATATGTCTTCGACAACGAGAGTTTCGTGTGTCGTGACAAGCTTATGCACTTTCGTACCAGTTCGAGACAGTCGTCTCATTCGCAAACGTTCGTGCCGTAAGAAACGTTTATTTGTTTCATCTATTCTCATTCTCGGTTAGTTGTTAGAGCCAATAAATAATTTCAAAACCGATTGTTCATCAATACAGCAAATGAGAGAAGTTTTGTGTTTCACGTGTCTGATTATTGACCGTAATCGAGATTAAAAATTCATCGTACGATTCCTCTTGCGGCACGTACACCGTGATTCGACTTTCAATTCTTCGCTTTGAAATACCGGCTCGGAACTACGACCGAAGCTTTCCCTTGCTCGCCCGCACTGTCGCAATCTTAATCTTTGAATTACAAATTTCTACGAGCAAAGTGTGAAACACCACCACCTTAAGCGAGTTCATAAATTTACAATATGATTGGCAAACTAGTGTCATTGTGTCTACGACTAATATTTGACAAGTATTACTCCTATTTTCCAAACGAAATAATTCATTTTAAATTAACGAGTAAGAGAAAGGTATACTGTGCTTCCAACATGAAAGTTTAAACTTAAAATGCTTGACGGCCGATGTACCGCGTGGAAGAAGAGTATTAATATTCGAGCCAGGATGAACGTTAGAACCGTATCGAGAATGTATCGATGAGATCTACTTAAAGCAAATCATAATCAATTCTATGCTTTCGAATGCATCGAAAATGTATGACGTGTTTCAACTCTGAATGCATATGCCCCGTTTGTTTGAAGTACTTTGAGTTTTCATTATTGAAATCGAAAAATAGGAAGGAAGTCTCTCTATATAGAAGCTTATTCTGGCTTTGCTAAAAATGGACTGGTCGATGTCAGATATTCGCTCAGCCAGGAATTTTGCACATTTTCCATCCAGGGGTGTACCTATGTTTTCTTCTTTGGAAGAAGTACATGAGAAACTATCGGAACTTTTAGGTAATTTCTCCTTATTGTATCGTCAATTAGTATTTTCATTCTGAGTTCGATAATTTTAATTTTGATATCGACAGGTATATTTGTACTGTCAACAAACTACGATTCATTGCATGGTTCTCGCGTGACATTCGATTTTTTTCTTTTTCTTTTTTTTTTCTTGTAGAGAAAAAACAAGTTCTTAGAGGAATTTTCAAAATATAATTCGAATTTTACGCGCCACAGGTGGCGCTGTTTGATCGGTAGCGCTCGGTAGTTTTCGTAGTAATTCGTAGGCAATCGGTTTTCGCAATCAAGATGGCGATTACTGTCGAAGTAGCGAAACCTGACTGTGGTGTGACGTCACGCCATAGTAGTGTTGTGCGGTTATGCGTTCGTGAATTCCGCCATTGAAAGTTAGTGATCGGGTTCATATTAGTGGCGGATTAGTACGGACGAATATGTGACAGGCTAAAAGATTGAGCGAATTGTGGTGAACAATCCGTGAAGGTTTCCTGATTCCTGGTCGCCGGCGTGGCGCGCCGCGCGCGCGTATCTCTCTGGTCGAGTAGGCGGTATTGGACCTCGCACCGGGAGTAAGCTCGTGTGCGAACGGCCTCTCTGGTTGCGTAGTGTCTCGTATTGCGAGATGGCCGGTAAGTAAGCGTCGTGAGCGCCGGTTTACTCTGCGTGGTCGCTCTATATTCCCACGACACGTCGTGAACCGAACACAGTGCGTCGCTCCTGCTGGCCGCCTCGCCGCGCCGCGGCAACCTGAACCTTGACCCAGATACTATCACGGGTTCACGGGTATATCCGCAGCGCTCGCAGTGCACGCAACATTCTTCTTCGTCAATTCCGCATCCTCAAATATAATCACCCGTACCCACTCTCTGGATTCTTGCCGTGTGCGGGGCCAAATGCGCCCGTCGCCGGCGACGGCAGCGGCGGCGGCGGTGGCGACGGCCTAGAAGCACGATGGATTGCGCCGAAACTTCAAGTAGGATTACTTTTACCTTTTTTTTCCCCTCCCCTCTCCCCGAATTTTCTTTCTCTCATTTACCTCTTGCTTTTTCCCGACTCGCTCTATCTGTGCATATGCTCGCGTCCGTCTCCCCTTTTTATGATAACTTAACACTTTCGTCTCACCTTGAGACACTATCGCTTCGCTCACGTCCCTCCGCGTTTGTTTTATCAGGTTTCACAGTCGCAACTCTCTCTTTCGGTGCAATTTTTTTTCTATTCATTTCTTCCTGCTTCCTTGTCCTCCGCTGGCCTTATCGATTCGCTCCGTTTTTCTTTCCTTTGATTCGATCGTCCGTACCGTTAATTGGAAAGAACCGCGTACGTTTGTCGAATGTATCTCTATGCGTCTTCTCACCATTGTACATCTACCTGTTTCACAGTCGCATGACACAATTCAAACAATAAGCATTACAGGGTGTTCATTTATTTTGTAATCCGTTACAAAATTAATTACAAGTGATTGCGTTGTATTAAGAATTAAAGTTTTTTATTGCGTTTATTTAATAGTTTCATTGATACATTTCTGTCTCGGTTCGTCGGAATTTGAAGCGAATTTCTGCTTTGATGTTAGCTTGACATTGTTTTATTTTTGTTTCAGGCAATGGTGACATACAGTGGTGTTTCTCACAGGTGAAAGGAACGTTAGAAGACGATGTCACTGAAGGTAAATTCTTGATGGAAGTTACATATATATTTTTATGACACTTTGTCATAATTTTCATATTGTATTTTGTTCCAGCTGATATAATTTCATGTGTTGAATTCAACCATGATGGCGATCTCCTTGCAACAGGAGACAAAGGTGGTCGAGTTGTTATTTTTCAGAGGGACCCTGTTGTAAGTTGAATAATAATATAAAGATTTTATATTAGTAGCATTTTTATGTTAATCTTTATTCTTTCAACAAAAAGAAATTTATGCTTTAAATAAGAGTTATATTTGTGTGTTAGTGTTGGATTACTGCCAGATTGATCTATACAATGTGTTGTATTTTCCTATCTTTAGGAAATTACCATAAAGTAATTGCAAAATTATATTTTTATTTAGAGTAAAAATAGTATACCCCGAAGAGGTGAATACAATGTATACAGCACCTTTCAAAGTCATGAACCTGAATTCGATTACCTGAAATCATTAGAGATAGAAGAAAAAATTAACAAAATTAGGTGGTTAAAAAGGAAAAATCCAGCACATTTTTTACTTTCCACAAATGATAAAACAATTAAATTGTGGAAAGTCAGTGAACGAGATAAAAGAGTCGAAGGCTATAATACGAAAGAAGAAAATGGTACAATTCGTGATCCTGCTTGTATCACTTCCTTGAGGGTGAGTACTATATGGTTGTTACCTATATTAAGATTATTAAAATATAATAAATTCTAAGACTCTGTGCACCTTTTCATTCTACTTCGTGTATATATATAATTTTCTCTGTACTATTGTGTTTCTGACAAAAATATTTTCAAGAGATGTGTGGTCAAGAAGTTCAAATATGCACATAACATTACGAGACTTTCATATTGTGATTATCATATATTGAATATACTTATTTACCAGGTACCAACTATAAAACCAATGGAGTTGATGGTAGAAGCATCCCCAAGGAGAATATTTGCCAATGCGCACACCTATCATATAAACAGTATAAGTGTTAACAGTGATCAGGAAACATACCTCAGTGCTGATGATCTTAGAATTAACCTTTGGCACCTTGAAATTACAGACCAGAGTTTTAGTATCCTTTTCCTATCATTTAATATTTATTTAATTTTGATTCTTAAATTTTGGATTATACTTATAAATTTTTATATAATATAAAACATATCGTTTTCCTAACAATGATATACAGATATAGTAGACATTAAGCCAACTAATATGGAGGAATTAACGGAAGTAATAACTGCCGCGGAATTTCATCCGGCAGAATGTAATGTCTTGGTATATAGTAGTAGCAAAGGAACAATTAGACTCTGTGACATGAGATCTGCTGCGCTTTGTGACCAACATAGTAAGCTCTTCGAAGAACCTGAAGATCCAACAAATAGAAGTTTCTTCTCCGAAATAATTTCGAGTATAAGCGACGTAAAACTTAGTAATTCGGGAAGATATATGATCAGTAGAGACTACCTCAGTGTGAAAGTGTGGGATTTACAAATGGAAACAAAACCCATTGAATGTTACCCTGTATGACAAAACTTACAATAGAATTTTCATATTATTTTCTGGCACAAAATATTTATCAATTATATTATTGCAGGTACATGAATACCTAAGATCAAAGTTATGTTCATTATATGAGAATGATTGTATCTTTGACAAATTCGAGTGTTGCTGGAGTGGTAATGATTCTGCTATTATGACGGGATCATATAATAATTTCTTCAGAGTATTTGATCGTACAACAAAACGTGATCTCACATTGGAAGCAGCACGTGACATTGCCAAACCAAAAACACTTCTAAAACCACGTAAAGTAAGTATAATTTTTGAAAAATATATACAATACTTAAACTATGATTATATATTGATAATATGAATTATTTACTAAAAAGGTTTGTACCGGTGGTAAACGTAAAAAAGATGAAATTAGCGTCGACTGCCTTGATTTCAATAAAAAGATACTACATACTGCTTGGCATCCATCTGAAAATGTGGTAGCTGTTGCTGCCACGAATAATCTCTTCCTATTTCAAGACAAACTCTAGCACATCTGTATGCAAGTATGTTTATTCAACAGTCTATAAAATTATAATTTAATAAAAAGAATATAAATTTTATTTAAAATAATGAGAAAGATTGCTTTTCATTTTTTTAGATCATTCAACGGTATATATTGACGTGAGCAAGGCACGTTCAACCGAAAAATCCCAATGGAACAAAGGGTGTCTGAATCATACTGACGAAAGTCGACTATTAATGTGTCAATGGTTGACTGACCGAAACGTGGTGTACGTAGCGCCGTCCACACATAAGCTCACATATTCATACACACTATGTATACACAAAACATACAGAATTGCACGTAACACCTTGTCGCGCGTATATATTGTATATAAATGCATGCAAGCAAAAATATATGCATAGCTCTCCAAACTATTGAATTCCGCTAGTTGAAATAAAATGCACGTGGAATCATTGCTCATTGACAAAAAAAAGTGTACAGTTCAATTAATCAAGAGACTCGTGTTGGCGGTTATTATTGAAATATTTTAATAGAAGATTAATGTATTCAGTTGGCTTGTATCATAAAAATTTTGACACCGTACAATTTAAAATGCTTTTTACCATAGGTGATTTTTCTACGTATGGAATGGTATCTGTAAAAAAAAAAACTGCATCAGTAGGACTAATTGCATAGAATTAAAAAGTATATATCGCTAGATGCGATAAATGTATCCTCAGTATATGTGCGTTGCATATAATACCTTTGCTTAATAAATTATTTGCCAAGTAAAATGCCTAGACATGCAAAATTAAAAGTAGAGATGATTATATGTGCCAATATGATTAATCTGTAGTTTGTCATTATTTTATTCTTAATTCAGTATTGTTTTTCATAACTTTTCGTAACAATTGCGTGTTTTCGATAAATAATTGAGTCTTTCGATAGAAAATTTAATTTTTTTCGTATCGAAAACTGTATCCTCCGTTAATCAAACTCGTGGCTGATTATAGAGTAAAAATATTTCGATAACTATTAATAATTGCATTTAAAGTATGCTAGCAATTACCATTATGAAAAAAGCCAAATTTTTAATTATTTTAATTAGCCGTTTGTTACCATTACTGAGTAAAAAATAATATTAAATAATAGGCCTATATCCTCGTGTCTTTATTTCCTAAATAAAATATATTACTA